CCTATATATATATTATACAATAACACAGAAAATATAATACCATCATTACGAACGTTATTACGCATGGACAATAAAGAATGAAATCAAATCTTGAATCATTAAATTATATGACGTACAATAAATATATTAGCATCTAAAATAAACATTATTCACAAAAATCTATTCCATATTCTCAACCCTCGATGTATTCCACATTACCTGCATGTCGTCATATAACAAATAAAGTCTTTCCGTAGCAATAAACAAGTTTGAAATAGCAATTAATCTGCATAACATTGTTCAAGCAACATTATTAAAAGCGTCTGTGCAATATAAGCATTAAAAAAACTTACCTTCAGTTTGTGAGAACACTTTTTAGAAAAAGCTGCCGGATCTCCTGATGTAACGAAATTGAATAAATGTTAATTGTATCAAAACGGTTAGTCGGACCGAGTTCATTGCTTGTTATGACATGTTTGGTAACAGTTGCAATAACTTTCAGCGATTGCCGCTTTGTTTAAAAAATAACCCACTATACCATATTAGTAGCCTATGCCATAATCCCTGATTTTACAATAATATCAAATTTAACTCTCGAAATTGTCAGATTAAGTTAATAAATAACGCTAGTGAGAGTCAATTATGCGGTACGTCATGCAAATATAATAATCATTTATACATAAATACTTATAAATTTATTCTTCAAACGTTTCAGCCTTTATTCGGGCCATCTTCAGTGAACGATAATAACAATTTCGCTTCTAATCCGAACTAGAGAGTGGCAAATCCATCCTTGTATTCATTTTTTAGACTACAAGATTAACCAGTCTTGTGGCAATTGAATCAAAGGAAAATCTAGACATTAACCATTGCCGTTAATAAATACATAATTCAAAGAATCACTGATAAAATTGTAACTCACCCGTTCGAACGTGAAGCCATAGACTAATATAAAATATCAAGCATTAACATCGAGGTGTTTGATTCGTTCATATAATATAATATACCTCTGTACGAGTCAACGAATCGTAGCTAAATGAGATAACAAAGTCAAACGATGCGTATAGTGTAACAACAAATAACAATTCTGTTATACATCTGCGCAACTTTTTAAATTATAACCTATCGAACGATGACTTAAATAACACAGTGACCAATCATGATTATTCACGACTAAGCTATTCAACGAACGCATATGTAGAATAAATTGTTCTATAAACGCATCATTATTCATGACTAAAATATTCAAAGATCGCATGACAAAAGTATTTTGTAATTACCGAAAATTATCAAGGATGAGTACATATGAGTCGTGTAGAAATTCTGTGTCTGTTTGAAGGTTTAAACTATTCTTTTGTAACTTTATACGAGGTGTGATCAAAAAGAAACGAGAATTGTAATTTTCTTCAAAAAGTATTAATTTATTCATCAATTTTTATACTGTCTTCTTCAAAGTAGTTCCCTTATAATACAATACACTTCTGCCAACGTTGTTTCCAGCTTGCAAAGCACTGTTGAAACGCCTCTTTAGGTATTGCCTTCAGCTCGGCCAGCAATTTTTTCTTTATTTCCTCTATCGTTGAAAAACGTCGTTTAGGGGTCCTCTTGAGTTTAGGGAATAGGAAAAAGTCACAAGGGGCCATTTCTGGAAAATAGGGAGGCGCGGCATCATAGTGGTTTTGTGTTTCACCAACTGCATGATAATTAATGCGGTGTGTGCCGGTGCATTGTTATGGTATAAAATCCATGAGTTTTCTTCCCATAATTCAGGTTGTTTTTTTCAGATAGATTCACGTAAATTGCGCTTGAGTAATACTCTTTATTAACTGTGCGACCTGTCGGTAGAAATTCAAAGTACACGCAACTCCATTGTAGTCAAAGAAAAGGGTAAGAAGAACCTTATTCATGTTTGACTTCACTTGACGCGCTTTTTTCGGTCTCGGCTCCTCAGAACACTTCCATTGTGATGATTGAGCCTTTGCTTCGACGTCATAGCCATACACCCACGTTTCGTCACCAGTCATAACGCGTTGGAGTAATTCTGGGCCATTAGTTTTTAACACAAAATTTTTAATAAATTTCTCGTTCCGACATGTCGCCACATATCAAGATCGCAGAATACTCTCAAGAGCGTCTTACTTAATGGCTCACCGAAAACAAACTGAGGATCGCACCAGTCTGAAACTTGGTGCGTACTTCACTGACAGTACTAACAACTTGAAAAAAAAAACATTTAACCAAATCGATACACTACAATGCGCGCAATTCAAAAATTCTCGTTTCTTTTTGATCACACCTCGTATACAATATTTCAGCATACGTCGTCTATACAACCATCTCTCAGAATCCATAATCTGAACACCTTCCCAGTCAAATTTATGATTTAAATTCAAACGATGTTTACTAAGGACCGAAAGATTGCTACCACGCTTACGAATGTCATTCTTATGTTCATTGATTCTTGTCTTCAAAGTGCGCTTAGTTTGGCCCACATAAGACGCATCGCAATCGTTACAATTTATCTTATATATTACATTCCTTTTGACAAAAGTGGACACGCAATCTTTCTATGCTCTGATAAAACAATTGAGTTTATTGAGACTAAAGAAAGCCAACTTTACATTAAGGTTATTAACCACATCCTTGAATCTATCTGCAATCTTATTTATAAATGGAATCTTAAACCATACCTTCTTATCATCTTCAATATTAGCCTCCGTATCATTTTTTTGTTTCAAGGTTTTGTTATGTAAAAGTGATTTTAATCTATCATTAACTATCTTAAAAATAAAATACAACGGGTAGTCATTCATAAGTAAAGTTTCGATAACAAATATTAAATTCAGACAATAAAAATGCTCTGTCCACCATTGCCCATAATAGTGCCCTTTTTTTGAGACAATGGATGCTGGTCCAGAGAAGGTAGGTTTATGGTACTAATTGTATTCAATCGTGTTTTCATTTTTTATCAACGTAATATCTAAAAAATCTAGGATTAAACCACCAATCTCCAAAGTGAACTGCAAACGTGGATGGAAAGAATTGAACACATCCAAGATCTCCGACGTTTTATCATTCGGAGCTGCTAATGCGACATCATCGACATATCTAACATAGAAAGGTAGAAGAAATTCCAAAGTGCTCAACGCCCTCCTCTCCAAGTCCTGCAGGACTATATCGGCAATAACGGGTGACAGGGGTGACCCCATCGGCATGCCAAATTTTTGTCGGTAAATAGTATTATCAAACGAAAAAAACGCTGATTCAAAAACTAGTTTAAGAACCTTCAAAAATTCATTTTTAGAAATATTAGTTATTCTAGTAATAGCATACCATCTGTGGTTAACACTGTCAAGAGCTAAGTCTGTAGGTATGTTAGTGAAGAGTGACACAACTTCAAGAGAGATTGAAATGTAGTTATCGTTCAAAGAAATATCATTTATAATTTTTGTTAGATGAAAACTGTTTTTTATATAACTAGGAGAATCACAACTTACTTTTGGAATAATTTTATTTGTAAAGGGGCACACGTCTCTCACCTTCGGCAGCAGGGAGGGAGGGAGGTGGGGTGGGAGTTGAAGCTCGAGTCGTGCGCCCCTTTGCAGGGGGGGAGGGGGGTGAGAGTCGAAGGTGAGAGTCGTGCGCCTCTGAAGCAGGGGAGGAGGAGGGGAGAGTCGAAGGTGAGAGTCGGGCGCCTCTGAAGCAGGGGGAGGGGGGGTGAGAGTCGGAAGTGAGAGTCGTGCGCCCCTGAGGCAGGGGGAAGAAGGAGAGAGTCGAAGGTGACAGTCGTGCGCCCCTGAAGCAGGGGGGAAGGGGGGGTGAGAGTCGCTTCGTGTGGGAAATCGTAAAAGTTGTAGGAAGTTGTAGAATATATTTTAAAACAGAAAATCTCATTTTATTATCATCGTATAGTAAAAAGAAGAAGTTATTTCTTAAATTTCTTCTATTAATAATTTTTTAACGAGCGACGGCTAAAACTTGTTGAAGGCTACTCAGGGTCTTGAAATCGTATGTCAAGATCAAGGTCAGCTGCTTCCGTTATTATTAATATTTACCATGAGGAATAATAGATTTCAACTTATCAGAAACTAGATACATTAAAATAAACGGTTTCTGACAGATTGAAATCTGGGAGTCGATTGTGTAATTTGAAATGAGATGAAAATTACAAAAGTAAGCAAATTCACTAGAATATTTATAATTTCATTGGTCAACACCTAGTAAGTTTGCTCACTTCTGCAATTTTCATTCCATTTTAAGCTATCGCTATAACCGCGTATTATGTCTGAGACTTAACTTCAAAAAAATTAAATAGAAAATTAATATTTACGGATAAAATGTAACTAAATAAAGTTGAAAAGTTAAGAGTCTAAATTGTAATTAATTTAAGTTAAAATTAATTAACTTTTTCACTTTTTCACTTAACTTTTATCTTTTTAACTTAGCACTACCCAACCCTGACGAAAACCACTCTGCGAACAGTACGCATCCTCGTTGACAAAGGATCGTGGCGGAGATGCATTAATTCGAAGATAAGAATGATGAAAAAATATGAATAGCGCACTTCGCTTCTGAAGTAAGTCCTCAAAATTTGGCTTTAATTGAAAATAAAAAAAATGTGTTTCTAACAATATAATTTCATTAAAAAATTTATTCAAAGACCTCCAGATTAAAAATTGCTGAGAAAATTATAATTTTGTGAAATACATATGAAATGTTCTTCGAATATGTCACAATGTATAAATAAAATATTTAATGATTATTTTAATATTACTCTTTCCGAAAATATTTCGGGATATTCCGGAATACATTTGGAATACTATTTTAGGATTTTAGAACCATTTTATGAATATTTTAAAAATATTTAACATTATCTGGACATTGATCTAAATTAAAGATACCGTAAACGATATTTTATTATTAGTTAAAGTTACGAGTGTTGTGTTACGAGAGATAGCCAAAAGAAATATAAATAAAAAGAAAAAGATACAAATAAAAAGAAAAAGAAAAGAAATTTGCATTTACCTGATTGGTCTTTCTGGCTGATTTTGTTGATCTTTTATTCGAGTTTTGATGTGTTCAGGCGATTGCTGATACTGAAATGATGAGGGAAGCGATGGCGGTCTCATTTGTTGTTGTTGCTGCCTTGATCGCGTCCTTCTAAGGTCCTGATTATACATATTGTAAAAGGTATCTTGTGTCGTGTGTTCCATATAAACCTCATGATTTTTCTGCTGCGTAGATTGACTACGTTGATATTGATGGTACCTGATCGGCGGAGTATAGGGCTCGTTACGAAAGCTTTCTTGTTCATCGTAACCGATCGTAGATCCCGAAGGTAACATGGTGTTCAAACGAAAACTGTGGGCGGTCGCGTAGCCTTCGGTTGAGCCAGCGTAAAGAAACGGTGCCATCGTAACCGACTGATATGGCAAACTGAAATTCACCAACGCCATTTCTCTTGCATTCGGAAGGATTCTCCCAGGCACACTTTGAAATCCAAATTGTCTTTTACTTGCGAACGGTAAATTTCTTTAGGATGACCTCGTGGTGATGCCTCGGGCGATATTTAACTTGATTTAGTGTAAGATCAGGTATGTATCCTTGTCGCAGAGATCATAATCGAATTATTGACGATTTTGCAAGGTAGCACTAAATTCCAAGAATTTGTGAAGGAATCGAAATCGTGCAGAGTAAGAACACTCTCATCGTCGCGATCATATTGAACATTTCCGCTTCCTGATTGCGTCGGTAGTTTCACATTCACTACATTTAAATTACTTTATATAGGCGAGTCCGACATATTTCTTTTTCAGTCTTTAATGCTAATGTTGCTGTATAATAAATCGAAGGAAAGATCTAGATATCCACTAATTAAGATCACTGTTTTCCTTTTAAATTTCTCATGAACACATAATCGAAGTTGAACTTAACATTGAAAAAATCGTAATATTGTATCAAATCAATAAAAGGAAGAGTCACTCGAATAAAGTATTGAGTAAAACTTTCCCTTTACACAGCCAACCCTAAATAACCAATGATCTTGACCTTAACCTTGACCCTTAAGAAGGTCAAGAATAATCTTTTTATATAATTATTGACCTTTTCCGTCGCTCGTTATTCATTAAAAAGTTATAAATGAAAACGTTTTTATGAATAGAACACTTTCAACACGACATACACTAAATTTCCTGCTTTGAAAACAAAAAATCTCTAAGAATTAGAAAGAGTAAGGGCACTAGGAGTCGGGCGCAGAAGACGTCGCGCAAATAATACACTTATAAAGAGTGAAACTTCTTTATTCACTAAACGCGCTTACATGTTTCGATTCATTTTTGAGCCTTCCTCAGAGCAAACACACACTAACATATATAAAGTAAAAGTTATCCTGTCATGATGAGCTCCCCTACATCGAGAATTTAAATGCCAGAATTAAATAAAAAGAAAGAAAAGAAAATGAAAAAGAAGGGAAATGTTAAAAATGTCAAATTAAAGAATATAGAAACTAATTTATCAAAAAACTTTAATAATATAATTAATTATCCCGAAAATAGGGACGCTCACCACAATTACAAGGTACCGTATCGCAAACATTATCATGAATAATTCAAGAACCGGTTCCTGATATGTTGGCCAATCGGTATCAGACACAGTGAGTCACTTTTTAGTTATTAGCTAGTACTAATAAAAATTGTAAAGTGATAAAAAATCTCGTCGGAAGGACTTATTACTGTGTACGAGCGACACCGACTGACAACAACTCGAGCTTTTATAGTTTATCTATAATCGGGAGGTAGGCCTTCAGAAGCCCTTCCATATCCGTTTGCAGGTTGAGTCCATGCGTTTGTCTTCTGATGAATCTCCGAAATCAGTCTCTTCCTGTAGTGAGGTTCCTCGTCCAATATTGTAACGCTGTCCTAGTCAAAATTATGTCCCTCTTGCAACCGATGTTCCATTATAACATTGCGAGCAGACGTGTTCCATCGGATGTGGTTCTTATGTTCCGTGATTCTTGACTTCAGTTGTCTACACGTCTGTCCCACATAACTCGCGTCGCAGCTCTTGCACGAAATCTTATAAACAACCTTCGACTTCTTATTACGCGGTAAGGGGTCTTTATGCATCCTAATAAATTCCCGCAATTTATTAACACTATAAAATGACACCCTCATATGCTCACTATTGGGGTGATCCCGATTGACCACGTCTCGATTGGACATCACCATTCACAGCGTCCGGTGCTTAGGAGCTTTGTAGTCTCAAGCGCTGTGAGTGGCTCGTGTCCAACTGGGTGCCACCCCTCACTATTCAGTCTATTAAACTCCTCAGTAATACCACGAACGAAAGGGACAATGAACCACGAAGGCTGTACTACATTAACGCTATTATCACTAACAACCCTCATGTAACAACTTTCATGTTTTAAAATACATTTCTTGTCAATAAGGTAAACATCGTCAAATTTAAATATCGTCATTTTAAAATAAACTAGTGTTTTAAAACAGAGAATTTGTTTACTTTATTTCATTTTAAGTTTTTGTTTTTAAAGCAGAAAATATATTTTAAAGCAGAGAATTTTTGTTTTTAAACCAGAAAATCTACTTTAATGTAGAGATTTTTTTAAAGATGTAGAGATGTTTTTAAAGCAAGAAATATTTTAAAGCAGAGATTTTTTGTTTTTAAAGCAGGAAATCTATTTGAAAGCAGATAATTTTTGTTTTTAAAGCAGGAAATCAATTTTAAAGCAAAGAATTTTTTTTAAAGTAGGAAATGAATAAAATGTAATACATTTTTCATGTTGGAATGTGTGTATCGTGTTGAAAAAGTGTCCTATTCATAAAAACGTTTTCATTAATAACTTTTTAATGTAACGAGCGACGAAAAAAGTCAATGATGTTAAGCTTCTTAAGAATCAAGATCAAGGTCAAGGTCAAAATCATTCACAGGTTATTTGGGACTGGCTGTGTAAAGGAGAAGTTTTATCATGTATTATTATCATCGTAAAATTGTATCATTAGCAAGTTTTATTATTCAATCGATTTAGTAAAATCTCAATCCTAATTGTAAATATCACCGTTAAAGAAAGTGAGTAAAGTAGTATATTGGAACTATAGAAAAATAGGCTCGTGTACATGCAAAACAATATAATCAATATGACAAGGCTTTTTTTAAACGAGCAATTACAATTAACTCAAAAAATAAAATAAAATTTGTTTTTTAATTACATATGCACACGGCTACAAAATTCATCAAAAGTTTCGACTTACAAAGTCGAACTTCTTCAATGATAATAAATAACAATATTTCTATATAACCTCTTACAAAGTCAATGAACTTACATTGTAATACATAATAAAATTGTCGCTTTAATCTAATTTTACATACTTATTTCAGCGTTAGAATATTAAAGATCGAAATAGGTATCCAGTCAGAAGTTTAGAAGTCCAAATTGTATAAGTGTGTTTTATTAATCCTTCGGTTGTTATCGAGAATCCTGCTCAGTCAATAATTTAATAAAAGTTACGACAGTCCAATCGAGGATTTCTTCAACAACTATCCTACTATTATATATTCTGTATAATTAATTGTCAATTTATAATTAAATGATTAATATAATTAATTTAATGATAAGAAGTTATGTTCACGCTTACGTTAATTTATATAGAATATTCTATTGAAATTTAGTCTTCCGGATTCTCACAATAAGGTACACACAATAAAAGAATTTATCAAAGATATTGAAAGTTTCTTGTTTAAAATTGATTATTTAACTAAAATTAGGAATATCGCTATCCCTGAATTTCATCGCTTCCTCCATAATAATTCACATTTGAGAATCTCTGACACAATGGTGTAAAGAGAATGATGATGTGGTTTCTCTCCACACGTGCCGACAAAGGCAAGGCGACGATAGCCAAGGAATTATCTCTTTACAATCACAAAGTACAGGAACTCCTAAATGACACCGACACATATTCGGTTAAGAAAAATCGGACATTAACGATAGAAAGACAACTAAACAATATGTTAAAAAATTGGCATAAAAAAGATTGATAAAAATTCATATTAGGGGAGCATCCCCCTTGACCTTGACATATGTTGTCGAGGTCATGACTCTCAGTAACCTCCAACAGTTTCAGCCGTTGATCGTCTTTCGTTAAAAAGCTGTTAACAAAAAAAGTTTTGCTGTATAAAACCAAAATTCTCTGCTTTAAAATAAAAAAAAGAAAGTTGCTTCGCGTAGAAAGTCGAAAAAAGGATGTAGAGTTTACATAGAAAAATGTGTATCTTTAATTTAAAAAAGAAATACTCAAAGTATATATGAAATAATAATGAATAAGAATAAGCGACTTTCTTTTTTTATTTTAAAGCAGAGAATTTTTGTTTTATACAGCATAATTTTTTTTGCCTTACTGTTAACAACTTTTTAAAGCAGGAAATTTATTTTAAAGCAGAGAATTTTTGTTTTATATAGTAGAACTTTTTTTTTCCCACTACTAACAACTTTTTAAAGCAGGAAATATATTTTAAAGCAGAGAATTTTTGTTTTATATGGCAGAACTTTTTTTGTTAACAACTTTTTAACGAAAGGCGATCATTGGCTAAAACTTGTTGAAGATCACTCAGCATCATGACCTTGACAACATATGTCAAGGCCAAGGTCATTTGGGGATTCTCCCCTAATCTGAAATTTTACCGAAAGACTTTATCTCAGATAAAGAACTTTTCAGTCTCCGATCTGGTGATTGAAATCTGCCAAACACTCATGGGTTATCTAAGATACACAAAGACGATATTTCGTTTAGGATCAGTGTGTCTTCCATAAATACGTCCTTATATCTCATAGCTAGATTCCGACAAAACATCATTTCGGAAAGTATTCCCTCTACAAAAAGATAAATAATAGCTTTGAACTTTATAAATCTTTAGCTGGAATGACAATAGATGTATCTGAGATACATACTCAACAAGATACGGGGTATAAATAGAGGCCCCACGGAAGCGCGACCAGAAGTCAAAATAGCCGAATCCACGTCAGTATTTCGCGGCAATAGTATAACTCGCTGTACTCGCGTCAATACCTTGTTCGAGTGTTCGGGTGATTCTTGGGATTCGTTGAAACCACTCAGCCACCGGCTGTTACCTTTGGCCACTCTTGAGCACCGAATCTGATGGACAACCGCTTTTATCGATCCGTTTCCAGGACGAATACCTCACGCATCACCACAAGTAAGTCCATCCATTCTACATTTATACACACACACACACATAAAAAATGTTAATAACAAAAAATCCACATACACACAAATTCACAATTTTACTATTAGAAAAGAGAATTACTGTAAATAAACTTAATTTTAATTAGTCATGTAAATTAGTTTTAGATTTATTGAATAAATGTAAGTTTGTAATATTCATCCAAAGATTCCTCTAAGTGTCATTTAATTCTTAAATCGCCCCCTTGTATCCCGTTCCCCTTAATGTAAAAAAAAATTCTTATTCATATTACTATGAAATAATAAAACCTTATAATGCATCTTACAATTAGTTTCTCTTTCTAACCTTCAAGATTTATGTCTTAAATTAATCGAATCTCCTTTTGTTAAATATTGAGTTATAAATAAATGGAGATCGTTATCGAATAAATTGCTTGTCATTATCATTTCCTAGCCTAGTTAATAGATATACCAGTGTATAATCCCATCTCCGTTCGATTTTCTTTTATTAAATATTAATTACAAACT